GGTGGGGAGCGGGGAGAGAGAGAGGGAGAGAGATCAGACCTTCCCCGTAGACAACTAATCCCACCACCTGAGGGTGGAATGAAACACTAAGAGCTAATACTTATTTGTAAACAGCTAAATGTAAGGGAGACAGTTCTCTTCATGCTTCTCTTCATTTATCTGAAATACTCTCATGCCTGCACAGGATCTGCATTTCTCCCCTTGCCGATCCAGCCATGTCACTGACAATGCTACACAAGAACAAGGAAATCCTGATACACTCTGGTTAAGACTACCAATGTGGGTCAGAGAAACAATTCCAGAACATCTTACCAACGCTGCTGGGTCAAACTGGGACACCACATGATGCAGAAGAACAGCCAGGTGAGCTGGGCGAGATTTCAGGAGCTCGATGTTTTGGAAACAGCTGCATTGTCCATTAATCTGTAGAGATACATGGAAACTATTTGAATTATTCAAGAAAGCTACTGTGAGAAAAAACAAGAATCTTTGTTCCAACAGCTTAGCTCCTCATTTGTTTAATTAAAATAAAACCTGATCAATTCCAGAACCTTTGCAATGCCATTCTAACATCCCAGGAAGAGTTTACAATAGGAACGCTTCTTTTAAATACTCTCCTGAACACTGAGTACAATATAATGAAATGTAATTCAGAGCAAAGGACAGCTAAAATAATAGAATAAATATGTCAAAAGCCACGGCAGCTACACTGCTGTGACAATAATGCAGAACTTAATAGAAACTAAATAAGCAACAGAAAATTAAATAAGGCAAATGAATTTCTAGAAAGCTTGAAGTTATGAGAAGAAAGAAAGAGTAACAGAAAGAATCAAAGATGGCATATTGTCATAAACTCCCCAAATGTTTTTATTTGGCAAGATCAGCCATTACAGGAATTACGTTCTCTAATTCCTAATGCACCACACAAGAACTGCTCAATAAAAACAAGTCATGGAGCACTTGTAGTTTAGGCACAGAGGAACAGAATTCTGGTCAAGGGGCAAAAGGGGTAGCTGAGGCTAAAAGTCATTCCCACCTGCTCCTGCTCAGTGTCAAAGTCATCATCCTCTGCTCCAATGATCTGAGGCCCCCCTCGGGATAACGGGCTTCCAACACTGGACTGGGAATCCTGGGATGAGTGGGGAATGAGGGAAGAGAAGGAAGAAATGTACAGAGCTATTACTGTCTTGGCACAGTAAAACTTCTTTACCAAGTTAGAGACACTACCATCATTTTTATTCTCCTTCTCAAAACTCAGTGGAAACCCATGTGTCTTTACTCAACCTTGTCCAAGTTTGCAGTTGAGAGATTCCCTTACGAATGCTTCTCCCAAGCCACAGGCATTCAGAAACATTAAATCACGATTCAAAACCAACTGCATTATCTACAGACATGAGCACACTAAGCATGTGGCATATGACAAATGCCATCTTAGTACAAATGGAGAAATGTGACTTTGGAAAGTCAAGCAGATGAGGGGAAAAATACTTCAGAAGTCACCCTAAGGAAGAAAATAATATGCCCAGATAGGTCTGCACTTTCTGCTATGTTCCACTTTTACCTACTCTTGAGGCCATCCCTGATAATGTCAGCCTCATAATGACTAAACATCCTGAAGAAAAGGCTGTTTCATTTACTGCTGGACTCAAGGAATAAAATATGTACAACTGCTCTATCTATTTTAGGTCCAGCTGTTTTACTGCTTATTATGTATTTCTCACCTCTAAATGGGCCTGCTCTTAAGCTCCATAAACATTTACTCAGCTAATTAACTTTCCCTGCACAATTTTAATGGCATTTTATTTGCTAAAGCGAAGTTTATGCATGCCCCATCTAGAAAGCGGGGGAAAACTGCAAGGTTTTAATAGGCCCATTACAGGAGATGCTGTTGTGACACTATGTTTTGTACTCACAGTATCTTGAACCTCAGTCTTTTCTGGGCTCTCATCCAGATAAATCCGCTCCTTCAAGCCACTGCGAGGACTCTGGGAAAGAAGGAAGTTCAGTTCTGGTGAGTACCAGCAAATCCAGGAAAATGAGAACTGCACAGTAAGTTTTTCAGCCACAACAGCCAAAACTTCTCTTTTTTCACAGAGTGAACTGTTAAACAGCTGAGGTATGAACAGCCAAACTAAAATGTCTGACCTACATGCACAGTTTCCAAAAAAAACCAAAAAACAACCAAATGCAGAAGCAGTTTTGGTAAGAAAGCTAGTGACATTGAGTAATGGCAGAGCTGTAAAATCTAGCGCACCTGTCCTTAGCTTTCTCTTTGCTCTCTCCACCTCTTCTGACAGTTTATGTAGTACCCATGTTGCTAGCTCTCTGACTAGGCCCTTTTCTCAACATCCCCTCTGAAGAAGGGTCTCCCAGCAAAGGGCTCAGTATTCCAGGTGTAGTCTCACCAGTGCCCAGCAAAAGGGGCTAGTAACTTCCCTCCACCTGCTGGCAATCCTCTTTCTGATGTAGCCCAGTAGACACCTGGCTTTATTTGCAAAAAGCATGTGCTGTTGGCTCATCTTCAGTGTGTCCACAGCAACACCCAGGTATTTTCAGCTAGGCTACTACTCAGCCTGCTGGTTTCCAGCCTGTATTGATGCATGGAGTTATTTCACCCCAGCTGTAGAGCTCTTAAACTTCAAGAGATTTCTATTGCCCCCAATCCTTAAGTTTCTCAGGATCACTTTAGATTGAATGTTTGGTGTGTCATTCACCTCCAGTGATCAAATACCATCCACAATACTGACAGGATTAAGTTTATTAGGAAGATAGCTACGAATTTTGTTCTGCGTTTATTACATACAAACATGAGTGATATCTAGTCAGATTTGGAGTTGGAGGAGGCATGTTTCAAAATAGAGTCGTATATGTTCACATTTTGGAGGTATATCTGACCCACCTTCCTTTCATTTCCAGCTGTTAGTACAAATTTAGCTCCCACATCCTTAAATTAAACAAGAAACTTAAGCCAAAACCCAAGTACAAAGTCTCAATTCCTTTGTACTAATTAGATAATGACTTAATTAAGGATAAGGTGCTAAGGCACTCCAATCGGGAGACCATACGAGTACACAGATTGATAACTAATGAGTGAACAGATTAGGAGCCCTTACTGTTGGCAATAATTGAGGCAATATTTGGTAGAAGTAAGACTCTTCCCCACTTTCATGGCAACTTGCCCACTGACTGAATCTGAGTCACAGCTACTGCAATTGAAACATTACCATACTCTTAAAAGATGCTCTAATTGGCATCTCTGAGTTCTGAGAAAGATGCTGGCATCCATCTTTCTTTGTCTGATTACAGGGATTGTGCCAGGAAAATCTAATCCTGGATAAAAACCCAAACCCCACATTATTTCTTTCCCAGTCCCTAATGGATGACCAATATAGTATGCTTCCTCAGGGAAATATTTTTGTGTTTAGTGAGAAGCCTATTCTAGTAATACACAGTGTTACTGAGACAGAGTACATATGTATGACACACAGGACAACACAAACATAAAAAATCTGCATAAGAAAACCAAATCTGAAAGGTGTAGAAGCAAAGTCACGGAGTCAAGACTCACATCAGCAATGTCACTGTTTGGTCGGGATGGGCTGTCACCACTGTAATCCAGTTTGCTTACACAATCCCCGCTCTCTGCCTCCACTTCACTGATCTGCAGTGATTCCATCACAGACCTGGAGGACAAGACTCCATCCTAAAAAGATAAAGTGAGTTGGGAGATAGCACAGAGCAAATAGAATATTTCAAGAGACAATCCTTAAACATTAGCTATTTCAAAACCCAGTTAGTTCACGTTATTTATAAAACTTTCTTCATGTATCCAGAAAAGGCTGCAATGCTTTTCTAAGAGAAGACAACAGAAAAATCACACTAAGTTTTCAGACTCATAACATTACAGGCAGAGGAAAAGGGGGAAAAATAATATCACCTTTTTGTTTTCAAAAGCAAAAGCAAAGCTGTTTTAAGCTTCCAGTTATTCATTCTCCACTGTAAGAATGACCTCACAGGTTTCTTCTAAGTGGTACTGACAGACAGTAATGAACATATCATACTTCACACTTACTGTTTTAAAAGCAGTTTTTCACAGACGGTTTGGAAGTCCATTGTTAAGTCTACTGACATTGCACTGTATTGTTTGACAGCCTCTGCATGCCTAGTTACAAGTCTCAACTCTAGAGGGTGCAATTTGCCTGTACCAGCACAGAAGAGCATGGCAGGGAATTCCTGCTTGCCCAGAACACCATCATCCCCCAGGAATTTTCACCCGTAACACACCACAGAGAAGCCTGTCATATTCTGCTACCTGAGTATAGCCCGTGGCTTTGGACAACTGCTCTTGCAGCTGAGGAATGTGCTTCTTCGTTTCCTGTATCTCTTTGAGCAGTCGTGTGGTGGGTGATCGGCTATACTCTTCTTGCAGAGACTGAAAAATAATTTTATGAGCTTTCACTCAGTATCTCCTCAATGTCAAAGCTTAGAACTACAACCTATTACTAATCTTCATTCCATTTACATATTTTAAATAATAAACTGCACTTTTGCACACCTAACAAGTAGATGCTAGAGAATGTCCGGTTTATATAGCTCTCCTCTCTCTCTCCTGTGCCATATGAAAGTAACTGCATTCTAGAGATTTACTGAAAATCACAACCACATTGAACGTATAGCTGAAGGCACAATAACTCAGCACCACCACAGAGTACTGTGCCAATTGTAGCTCCTAGTGAGACATGGCACTCTCTCAGTAAGAATCAAAGATGCTTATTTGCCCAAGGATGAGATCAGATTGATGGATACGTACATTTCCAGTTAAGAAAGCTCCCACAATTTTTTTTCTTACTCAAAGATTAAAAACTCAAGAGCTGATCAGTAAGAGTGACTAGATCTCTCATGTTAGGCCGGTATATAGAAAAGCTAAGCTGAAACACAAGCTACGCAAGGGAATGTTGAAGATGCTACTAAGTAGTGATTCAACAACTGACCTTTTTATTTGCACCATACTTTCCTCCACCCCTCTCAAACTCACGCAACTCCAGTACCTGCAGCCGCTCCTGCTCTTTCTGTAGCATCTTTTTCAGAATCTCCACCTTCTGGTTGTGGACAATATTATTCTCCTCCTAGAAAATATGGAGAGATTAAGGGTCAGGTTTTTTGGTGGAGCTCAGAAGAAAGATAAGGAAAATGGATATGCCCACTTTTCATCTACTTCCTAAACATGGGCTCTGAAAAGCCCTACAAGAAGCAATTCAAGTTTCTAAATCCTATCCTGTGCATTCTTTCCTATTTTTGAACATAGCTATAAACATAAAAAAAAAAAAAAATAGACAGACCAGAAGTGTTTGCTGGCGGCAGAAGTGGCAGGATAAGTATTCCAATTCCAATTTGTGATTTGTGCAAGAAGCACAAAACAATTCAAGAAAAAAAAGACATGACTACATTTCTTCCACTGCTACACTGGTTCTTTGGAAAGAGAGCTTTAAATCTTACCCCAACAAGCACTGGGCTAGTAATCCTTTCTGCATTTCCTGATGTGCCAGGTGAATGGGGAGATGTCATGATGGGAGACATATGCCCAAATGCTGCGAGATCCACTTCAGAATCAGCTAATGGAATCTGGGGCGACCCTGGTGGGCGCCCCTGAACAGTGAGAGCTACATAGGAACCCGCTGCAGGGAGAACAAGAACATTTCACATTTCAGACACACTTGCAGACTTCTGGTGTTGCTGTTTCTCTGGTTGCCATTTCACTCTAGAGACAAAACTCAGACCATTCTTCACCTGTTCATCCTTCAAACCAGAGAACCTGAGAGCACTGTCAGCTCTGTTTAGAGATCTCTGTTTAAATTTCAGGTAATCCAAAAACTTTCATGATAATCATCCTTAACAAAAGCACGCAATCCGATTTCTAGTCTATCTGGTTACATTTACCAGGTTGCATTTACAGTATACATATGCTCATGCCACAAAATAAACTGTGCTAGGGTGGAAAGAACCACTACCAGCTTCTTCCTTGTACAAGAAAATCAACAAAGAATGCACTTCCTTTACAAACACCAGTACTTTGCAAGCATCATACAGTAATCTACATTAAGAGTCCCTGAACAGCTATGGTATTTAAGGTGGAATCAAAAGATGGGAAGACGTGTAGGCAAGGGTTGATGGTAACTTCGAACATCAAGCTAAGGAGAAACTACAGAAGCATGTATCAGCTCAAGTCCGAGATGTCAAAATTACCCCAATTTCACTTCACTGTTTCATACACACCCTTTATCTCTCAGCATGGGGCATGGTTAGACCTCATCCTTGTCACTTGATAGCTGGATCGGTAATTGGTCTTTTAAAATTATGACTTTCATGCTTTAAAGGAGCATAGTGACAGAAATAGTAACCTGCCTTTACTTACACTTGATCAGCTTTACCACCTCCAAATGATTTGAGTGTGTTACAAGAGTGCCATTCACCTGGAGGTCGGGAGGAAGAGAAAGTTAACACTGTTTAGCTACTGATTTCCAACCAAAGGTACCTACATACTACACGATAAGCACGTAGAACAATTTTTTTTTTTTGTCCCCCCATCTCCATTACTATGTCTTTCAAGACACTAACAGATAAACATTTTATCCCTTTAACAGTTTATCTCGGTGAGCAGAGCTCTGCAAAAAGAGAACTATACACACGTACCAAAGAAAACCAAGCAACCAAACAAAATAAAATCAATCCACTTCTGACTGGGCAGAAAAAAAATTAGGGTAGCTAATTTAATTCATCAATTTAAATGCCTAGCTGAAATCCCAGCTCTATCTGTGTCAGTAGCTGCTGCAGTACAACCATCATTTTGCAGCAATAGTTTAGATAGTCTTTTTAATTACTGACTTGATTTCTTAGTTGTTTGGGACTAAAAGAGAACACTGATCTGCGGGCAGTTAGGGGAAAAACAATAATCCAAGAAGACTATTTATTTACAGGCAATTATTAATAACTCTCTATGTCTTCTTTCCCCTGCCACTTCTGTTTTATTGTATGTGTGACACTTGAACCTTGTAGGATGCTGAACTCACCCATGAAGTTCTGAAATGAGAGTGATCTCCACAACAAAACTAACATTCAGCAGTGGGCTTTCAGTGGTTACTGTTCTGGTATCCCCAGAACACAGAAACTTAGACCATTCCTCTATCCCACAGGCAAATGCAAACATCACAGCAGACGTATCAATGATATTCTTTCAGGGAAAGATACAAAGGATCCATTTCTCTGATGATTTGAATGCCCTTACCTTGATAATTCTATCACCTGTTTGCACTCCAGCCCGCATGGCTGCTCCATCTAGAGAGGCAAGAAATCATTTAGTTCCAATTTCAGTAGAAACATTCAAAGCAAAAATGGTTTAAGCGCTTCTGTAGTTCCACTCAAAGCTACTTCCCACACTCATCCAAGCTTCCTCTGTCTCTACCAGATTAAAATGTCTTGAGTATCTAGACTAGAGAAGTTCTGTTCTCATTTTGCAGTGGATACATCAAGCCACAATCCCACCACGTTTCAAGGAGTCATTTACTTCCTCTCAGATGCAAGCGGTCAGTTTCCAAATACATCAGACACTAAGGTGGCGATTCACTGCATTCCAACAGTGCAATGCTCTTTGTCCTTGCACATCTATTCTGAAGCTACAGCCATCCCACCCGTGAGGAAGGCATTTGGAGTTTTCTCCTCCAGCTCATGCACATGTTTCTTTGATTCACATGAAAACCCTCTAGGCTGCTCTCTGGCTAGCACACTTAGCAAGTCTGCTTACCTTCTTTGACGGACTGCACAAAGACTGGATTGTCTCCGCTGACTGTCAGCCCAAATCCATTTTCATCCCGTTGGATAACAACACACCGTTGAACAAGACCTGCGTAAGAAAGGTGGGGAAAGGGCAGAAGAAAGAGAAGGAGAGAAATACAAAGAGACACAAGCTAGGCATCAGTCCAAAACCTTATCCTCCTAGATAATCACAGAGCACTGAAAGAAACTGGTACAATACAACAGAGGGAAAAATATATGAGAGACAGAAAGAGGGCATCAGTCCAGAAACAGATAGGAATGTCAAGACAGGTCAAGCTTATTGCTTCAGTTACACAAAACAGAGATATACAACAGCAGAGATGCAGACAGCTCTGGCACATCAGATACAACTTGAGGTAAAAGCAGCTTTTAAAGAAGAGCAGCTATGTACACGAACCAATGAGCACAATTTCCCTTTGTCTGTATTAATAATTCTTCAAAGTACAGCAGAGGGTTGTCATGCTCCAGTACACCATCAAAAATACCACACAATTTTCACAAGCTACTCTAAAAGAAGTCACAAGTCTCCCAGACTAACATCAGCGGGTTGGACTAAAACAGATTTATTAATCAGGAAAAGTTCTCCCAATTCTCAGCAAAAATCTCATCTTATCATCTCATTCTGTTCCAGATGAGAATATCGCACCGAACCAGAACAGCAGCATTAAATAAGTACAAGCCACGCTTACTACACTGAACAAGCCTTCTGAAATCAAGACCATGCTTCCCACTGAACTACTGAAGTACAGGGCCAAAATCCCAGGAGATGCAAGTTTGAATCTGCTTCTCCTTTCACTTGCTGTGTGACATCAAAGGCAACTTGTTTTGTTTCCCAGTGTTAGGATTACTCAGTATAATGTGAACATAAATACCGCTGCAGAGATAAATACTTAGTAGGTGCAGCATTTTGAAAAGTGAAATGTTGTGTATATCTATTGTTCACCTGAAAACGAAGAAAGGGAAAAACAAAACAAAACAAAGCAACGTTCCTGGCATATTCATTGCAGAGCACTTTCCTAGCAGCATCTGCAAAAAGCCTACCACAATGGAGCCCTTATTTTGAAAAGCAACTTTAGGAACTCTGCAAGACGCTTCATGGATATTCTTTCATTTACACAGCAGAAATTACTAGCTACTAAACATCACCCTTATTTCTAACAGCTTGCTTTGCTTCTTCATTTCTAAAGCCACATCAGGCAAAATTCTTACACCAGCATCTTGAGAAAGAATTGGAGTTCTCCACAATCAGAACACAAAATTGTAGCAGTTTCATTTAGTATGGAGGGAGCAAAGAGAATTGTGAAGATGCTGTCCCAGCAAGACTGTCTTTTCTGGAATAATTTTTAAGGAATGAATTGTAACAGAGTGTGGAGTCATACCCATCTTAAATTACTTTCGCACCACTGCAGCTCCTTTCTCTTCTCTGGAGCAACTCCTAATGGAAATGAGGAGCCTCAAGAGAAAATACTGTCTGCCCAGTCAGCCCTGTTCTCCTCGAGTGTGGCATATATGAAAAATGGGTGTGGGAGTAGTGGAAAAGGTTGCATTCCAGCACTTCTGCAGCAGTCTGGTCACAGTATCATATCCCAGTAACTCCCCTTCTGCCGATAAAGTAGAAGCAAATTATGCTATACATAGCGATCTGCAGTAAGTTGATGGAATGGATGCAAGGTGAAAGCAGACAAGAGGAAAAAAACCCACCACCTTTCACACCCTCTTTATACGGTTAAGTGAAAGAACATGCCTCTCCCTTTTGTACCTCCCATTTTTCTATATGGCCAAGCTTCTTTAAGTCTCACTTCACAAGAATGATGCCCCAGGGTGGGGTGTGGGAAAGAGAACACATGCTATTTCATAAAAACAGCTCATTTTAAACCCTGCTGCCAGACGTACAGGTTTTATGAGTAAGACACTAACTAAATCTTTTGACTCATAAGAACTATCCTTGTTTAAAGGCACAGTATAGTCCTGTGTACTCGTTGCTCTTCCACTGAATTTCTTTCTTTTTCAGAACCAATAACCCTTGGATATACTGATAAGCTTCCTCCTTGAATGAACCTGATGCCAAAGCAGAGGCAATGCAGTAGGAGATGCAACATAAACTGACCTTACAGAGTATAATTTAAGTTCCAAGAATAATCAAGTTAAACTGTCTCACGCAACAAGTCTCAATTTCACCCAAGACCACCTTTTAACTTTAGAATGGGGAAGCAATTGAAATTAGGACAACTCAAACCCAAATTAGTTCATAATTGCTTTTTCCCCTGTATTTGTTCCCTTCAGACAAGAAGCAGGCACTTAATCCTTCTCCTAACACAATATTAAAGGCTGGAATGAGGTCTAGGTAGGCCAACTGAGAGATACCGTGCTTGACAGAGATACACAGCAGCTTTATAGTGATTTTAATGAAGTTATCTGAAAGTTTTCTGAAGATAACACTATTACCTGCAGAACTAGATCAGCTTTGATAGCACTCCCTGTCTGAACCAGGTAGACTAAAACGAACAACCTTCAAGTGCTCTCTTCTACTCTGCTGTGAGGGAAAACTAGCAGAGAAACCCCCCAAATCTGTCATTTGCTCACTTTTGTTCTTTAAGTAAAATATATTCAATCTGAAATCTGCTTAGTGGTGGAATTTTAAGACCAGAGCAGCAATGTTTTCATAACCCACGTCTTGTACCTTGAACACCTCATTAGACACTCTGGAATGGACTGAAAGGAAAGCCACAAACCACTGAGAGCCCAATGACATGCAACATAAAGTTTTCAATAGCTGTTACTGTCACACCTGGATATCACACGTACATACAGGAACTCTTACATTAAATTACTAACTAAACCAACTTCACCCACTTTAATTAAAGTCTATGAGTTTGGGGCAACACTGAAGAGTCCGTGTTAGGAAGCGGCAATCAGCTTTTCATTCACCTTTTTTGCTTTTGTCTTCCAGTTCTTAGCGTTCCCTGGATGGAAATCATAAGTCATTCATTTTGAAATATCTTACCATGATATTTCACTTTTTCCAGCTGAAGCTTAGTAAAGATTATAAGGTCAACAGAATCCATCATTGATAGCACCCAAAATCAAATCAGTAATAATTTTATTCCCACATTCACTTTCACATGACAGTATCTTGATGGCATGAAATGAGGAGACATCACTGTAACTATGCTTTAAGTACACAAAATCAGACTACACGTTCATATCTTGAGTGGATTCATAAAATTCTGTGGAGAAAAAGAAATAAATCTTAAAAATCCTTTTTCATCCTCATGCATATTATAATTCCCCAAACTCACTGGTATAGCCTCAAGCCAAGAGTACAGTAAAGCTGCTAACCGTGTGCTGTAGTTAAAGAGGTTTAAGATTAGAAATGAAAGCAGTTAGAAATTACCAGCCCCAGAAAAAGGAATTGCAAGAAAAGCTACAACGATCAACTCTTCGATAGGTGGCACTATTCCCTCTGCGACATTGGCTCAGTTCTCCAGCCCAGTTACAAGTGTGCCTTTTGAATAACAGGGAAGGGTGAAGTCTGAACTTCTCAAGGTCAGGGACACACCATGGTAAAAATGATTGTCTCAAACAGTTTTGCCAGATATGTTTCGATCGTCCAGGAGCTTCTCTAGTAAAAAGATCATCTACCTTCTTCTCTTCTACAGATCCTAAATATTTGGAAGTTATTCAATAAAATAAGAAATTTCATTTCCCTAGCAGTGCACAACAAATAGAGCAGGGTTCATTCTAAAAACCTGACTCACTAGAGAGAATGGAGACATGAATTACATCTCCCATAATCCAATGTAGCTTCTCCTCTGATCAAACTGTGTGGGACATGGCATGGGAGGAGACCTGTGAACTATAAGCTCCCTGGAGACATGAGGCCACAATGGGAAAATGCAATTTAATATAGTGATTTGAAATGAATCATTCAATAAACAAAAACAAACTCCTTGGGGTTTTGAGAATGTCCAAATGTTTCACTTCATTTGGGAAGCTTTATTTCTACAAAATATTTTCAGAAACCCCACTCCACAAAATAAATAAAACTATCAGCTTTTATAAAGAAAATTTCTCATAGGATGAAATTCTGAATTTCACTTAGTTCTAGTTATTACTGTGATCTTCATACCAAATGCCATATTAGCAGCATTCTTCAGATTCTTCCACTAACCTGGTAATAGAAGTCACGTAAAGTTAGAGCAAAAACTGTATTGTTTGAAATTAGTGCAGTGTATAGTGTCTTGATAAAACTGTTAACAACAATGGCACTGAATACCGTTCATAAAAAAAGGCTTGGTAACCTTTCTAGAAAGAAAGAACCATGTATTTTAACCATGATAAATAGGACTATCTGCTCCCATGGCAACGACACATTCAACCCCTGTGGTCGAGTGCCCCTTGCACTCCCAGCCGTTTCTGGCTATTATAAGGGTAGTGATGAGGGGCTCCCAAGAGTCCTTTCAAGAGTCTGGAAAAATGGTAGCCACGACATAAAGACACAAGGCTGACAAGAACTGCAAGAAACAAACCAGGAAGAGTAAGTTCGACTTAAAAACGTCTCAACAGGGCTAAAATCTGGAGTTTCAGAAGAAAAAGATTTAAAAACCTGTCCCAAAATTGGAGAAAATACGTGAAAGAGTATGTATATGGTCTAGTCTAATATTTGGGCCAGAAACTGATCATTACTAAGTAAAAAGGAAGATATCTTTGGACAGCAACCAAGTCATGGGGAAAAGGGAAGAGTAACTGATATCTCGCCTACCACCTTGATAACTAATGTCAATTTGAAATTCATTTAAGAGACGAGAATTTTACTTCGAGAAACAGGTATCAAGTATTGTGGGAGGTTATGGCACTAATTAGTAAATTACAGCGTATCTGAAACCACACTCAAACTCTCTCCTGATCATCTAAATTTTGTTGAATACACAGATATGAGATGGTTGGATTTATGGATGAAAATATTGCACTCTAAGCTTCATGTCACTAAAAATCAACTTCTGTATATCAGAACAATTTCACTACCTAACCCCTCTGCCACCCCCAAGCCACTCGTATACTTCAAGAAATTCTGGTCTCTTGCTCCTTAATTAAGAATTTCGAGAGGTAAGAACAAACACATACACAAAAGCCACATCTCCTCCTCCTGTTGTCATTCAAGACTTTTCTCTTATTCACCTTCCAACGGCTAGCCAAAGAAAAAGCCAGCTGACAGTCACCAGCGAGAAAAATATCAGTACAGTATTGCTACTTGTAGGTTTTTAAATAGTTTGGTCTCATTCAAACAGCAGACTTCTCTACACATACCACAGAACCTGGGAAAAGTAGAGGGTAGCGACAAAAGGCAGGGCAAGGTCCAACACAGCAAAGGCCACTGGAAAGGAAGGATGAGTGGAAACTGCTCCCATAGATACTGGACATGGATAGAGCATCTGCAGGAAGCTTTGGGGGAAGTAAAGGCTTACATTAGGAAGTAATGTTTCTTTCTGCCATACATGACAAACCAGCACACTGTACAGACTGAGGGAGAAATATAAACACAGACACATTCCATCAAGCATACCAAATGTTTCCTGTAATTAACCTGCAATAGTTTGACAGCACCTCAGTATATTATGGGTAAGCAGCATTAGGCAAAAATTAATGCAGGTTCAAGACATAGGGATCTAGTCAAGCTGACTGCGCTGTCACTAACCAGCATCTACCTGGCAAGGGGACGAACTGGTCAAGGCTTCAACACAAGCTCATCAGAAGCATCATCCCAAAATATATCCTTTCAAGCAGGCCATTTCCCTGTTCATTCTCTCTGAGCACAAGAGGAAGCCATACAAGCTGCAGCAAGCCAGGTCTCCTTAAGACAAGTTTCCAGCTCCACTGAAGCGAATCGAGGCACTCTCAAAACCTGTTTATAGTTTCTGAGGAACAGTCTCGCATCCTGAGAAATATGACTGTTGTATTACTTTTTTTTTTTTTTTTGTATTACAGAAAAGTGTGTGATTCAAAATTCCAGGGAAAGTTAAGAGACCTCATTTTCACAGAAAGAACAGATCACACCTCCCTGATCTGCACCAACTAAAGAGCTTTTGCTAACATGCCTATATTGGTTTAGAAGAAAGTCTTCAGGGTTGGTGTTTTGGGGTTTCTTTTTGGCTTTTATTTTTTAATGATCCTTACAACAGAGCTATGACAGCACCATTTTTTATTACATAGGTGGTTTAAGAAGTTGGATCACAGCCATTAACACCTGGTATTTTTATTCTAGTGGAATGATAAAGCTGATACTGGAAGAGTCATTGCAACTGTCCAAAAGCCCACAGCAGGTTACGCAGTAAGCAATTTTCTTTACAGCGAAAAATCAGGAAGTATCACAGACTGTTTTAAATATCAAGAAAAAAAAACAGGCAAGGAAAAGAAAGGCAACCCATGGCTGCAGTCAAGACAGAGCTGGACGTGCACACTTAAAAACATGAAATGTAGCGGTACTGGCCAGGTTCAGCCTAGGTCCAAGGGTCTTAAGAAGCTGATAAGATCCAAAAGACCACCCACCAACTTGTGGAAACTTACTACCTTTTAGTTTCTAAGATATGACTGCAAACCTCCTTAGAGACTGGAAATTCAACAAGTCATTAACATAAAGGTAGGATGGAGAGAGTGTCACAGCCCGAACACTGACATATCTCATATAAGCTAAAGAAGAAGGATGAGCAAACAGGCTGTATTTGGTAGACATTCTTTCCAACAGCACCCATAATGGTATACTGACAACATAATGATGTGTGGGGCTACTCCTATCCCAAACCATTGTAGGCCAATTTGTTCCAGTCTACAAGCCCACAACACAGTAGTAATACACAACAATAAAGGACTGCCAGGGAAGTTACTCCCTCTTCAGAACAAAGAATGGTGAAGTTCATATTCTTACATTTTTTGAAACTATTTACAGATACAATTTTCCACTTCTGTGAAACATGAAAAGGAACTGACTGACACAAGATCCTCTACAAATAATGCAAAAAGATGAATTGCTGGCTCATCTAGATTAACCTCCACAGTTAGAGCAAGACACAGACTTCTCCACAACCACAACTCTTCTGGAGTCCAGCATGAGCTGTGTCCTCACACAATGCCAAAAATACTCAGTGGCACAAGATCTCCAAGAAGGGCAGCCCCAGCAAGTTTTCCTGACTATCAATAGATAACAGGAGAATCCAGGTGATAGCCTATGCTTGCCAGGTACGGGTTAGTTTCCAGCCACTACAAAAACTACAAGCTGATACACTGAAGCAACATTTAAACCCAGTTTCCCACTCCCTGCTGCAGAGCGAACCATGCGGATCATGTAAAGGATAAAAGCCTCGGGTGCACAGACAGAAAGCATGGAGCAGACTGCAAAGGTGCAAGGCTGCAGCAGCTGCTTTAGCTTACCATACGTCTCGGATCTACTCTCCTCCGAACTAGACTTTGTCTTCTTGGAGGAGCTATCTGCACGAGAGCAGGAGAAAAGGAGAGAGAGATATAGAAAATATGGAGACCAAACATGAGAAAAAAAAAACTTCATGAAAAACACAGACTGATTTATTAGGTTAAATCGTGCAAAACACAAATAAGATGTGAACAAAACATAGATGAAACACTTGGAATAAGGGGTGAATAATACGAGCATGAAGACACAGGTAACACCACAAAGAATCTACTACAGAATCTAAGACACAGTAAGAGAAGTTCTCTGCAATGAACTACAGAAAGTATTCTGGATAAAAAACAGTCCAAGCATAGAAACTCTGGTAAGTAATCGACACACGCATAGTAATTCAGCATTCTGAATTCACCCCTTAAAAAAAAAAAATGAAGGCTACAGTACAGAGTTCATCTATCAGAGCAGATCACAAGCATCATAACGGTGCCAAGTAACAGCTCTCAAAATCAGAATGACTTTCATCAACTTCCTGAAGTTTGCTTCTGAAGAAAACAAATTCCTTCTACAAAACAGGTTCATAGCCCGAGATCTCCTCCAACCTACCCCAACCTGAAATAATTTTACATTACCTATTCCCAAAGACAAAGGAAAAGAAGACAAGCACTAATTCAGGTTTTCTTCCTTACAGGATTTTTTTTTTTAAACAGACGTTAAAAGCTCATTTTAATTTATTTTGTGCACACTAGGAAGGAGCCATGCAGCTAGTAGCAGACAGCATTAACGAACAGGACGTATTATAAACATCAGCTTCAAATGTCTTGTGCAAAAACACATTCTACAAGTTCTACCACCTTGTACATTCAACTCTCATCTCTTCCACAAGCCCCAAGGGAAAGACTGGAGTAAACAGCAGAATGCACAGACATGAAAAACGCACATTGCATGGGGCCAGGAGGCTCAGACAAGAGCCTGTCATGCATTTCATGAACATACACAGTAGTCACTGGGTTAGTGTTTCAGAGAGAGAATGAAGAATCCCTGCATGCATCCTAATTTCCAAGACAGCACTCGACAGGCTTACCAAATTGACCCAGATTTAACCTTTTGGAAGGTTAAAAAATAGGATAGCATATCCTTTAAAAATAGACGTTTATCTTAAAATACATCACATTGGAAAGTACAAATTCACTTTACGAGTGACAGAGATGGATCAAAATCCACTAAGGCTCAAAAAAAACCCCAACAAGGAATACCAGCCTTAGTTGAGCCTATAATATCTCCAATTTCACACTGCAACTAAAACAGCCAAAAGAACTACTGACAACTAATTACAGTATTTGCCTACTGAAATTTCAGACTGACTTTTCTGAAAGAGGAAGTAGTTATAATTATTCACTGATACCACTAATCTACGTTTATTCTTGCACAGTTAACAGCTGCTTTGTAGATGAGCATGTTTAAAAGCAAGCCCATATTCATTTCAATGCCCACATGCTTCAAAAAGGCTTTACAATTGCAGAAAAACACAACTCTGAAAACCACATTTGTTGACACATTAAAATCATTTTTATTCCGATCTCCAGTACTTTTCAAGTCTAGATTTTCACCTGTGAAGTTTTAGGACTTTACCTGTCGGATCAAAGTCGTGCGTACTACTGCAGCGTTCAACCTTCTGTTTCTTGTCAGCTGGAGACTCTCTGCTCAGAATGCTGCCGTGTCTGTGTCAAACCAAAGCAAAGGATTCTGACTACCGCACCACAGAAGCATTGCCTAACTGGTGAGGCTCTTGGAAATAACTTTACCTAGTTCTGTTTGCTAACAAGGAATTTAGATAAAAATGTCCACATTAAGCTCACCTAAAAAATTTATTCCCAGACTGAATTCAAGTGAAAAAATGATCTCTCTCAGAATCTTTGGGAGTGTATCCAAGGTTCTAGAAACAGTCTCATTAACCTTTGAAATTAGTAACAGCAAGCACATTCTCTTTATCATTCAACACCAGGCCATATTTTATTTTAAAAGCAAAATAAATGTAAGTTACATAAAACTGAAAAAACTCCTGAAATCTTAACTCCACCTCCTCTCCCAGCAAACCTTAAATATCCGTGTATGCAAAAATTAAAGATTTAGAATACCACACCCTCCCCAAAGGACGTGTCTGTACATCATACACCAACATAGTGTCACTTTCTCTGACCATCTCAAATCTCAGGTAAGATGACCCACCAGTGTACATAACAGAAATGCAAATGGTAACACTATGCCATGCACTCTAAGTACACCACCAACTATATTTTTGACACCCTGTCCTGATCTGGATATTAATTTCCTCATATCTGAAATGGGTATTGCTATCTGTGGGTGTACATATTTTTTTTCCTTTTAAAAGCATTCTTCCTTCAAAAATGCTGTACCATAATTTGCAATACAGGTAAACACTCAAACGTCAGTAACTCACCTTGTAGGTTTTTTGAGAGGAAACCTGAAAAGAAGAAAGAACATAAGTTTAATAAACTTTTTTTGTTTCTCAATATTATGTTTGATATCAACACTAATGCTTAAATACAGTTATTTTACACTTCTGTAATGCCTTCACAAGAGAAGAGCCTTTTTTGTTCTTCTACTTCAGCCAATTATTAGTCCATTTACAGTTGATTCAACTAGGTAAAGAACTATTATCAATATGCTTAACATTTCAAACAGAACTGAGAAGAGGAGCAGAACCTGTGCTCTCAAATCCAGCATCTAGTCCTTCTTTCTTAGTATATTACAGGAGCTCATGGATCATCTTCCTCTCATAACAACTAGTTCCATACACTAAAAATTACCGTAGCTTGATTTTTTTGTCCTACTGGTGGACTGAATAGCTGGTACCTAATGAAGGCCCAAACTCTAACTGAAAAATCTCCTAGAGCTGAGACATCCCAGTTTTCTCCCTCCTATGTGGGTGCTGTGGTATCTAGTAATATCGGAGCTCATGCTGACATCTCTTAACAAGATCTCTAACTATTTTCATGAAACTGTATGAACTTGCCATCTTTGAAACAAGAACAACAGAGTAAAGTTAAATTGAAATTATATTAAGTATTCCAAATATTACTGCTGGGACATACAGATAAAATACGCAACACAAACCCACAGTTAAAGGGAGGAAGAAGTCTATACACATTTTTTAAGTAAGGAAAAGATGTGGGACGTAGGAAACCATCAAGGATTTTTTTCCTTGAATTACAACAGAAAAATGGCAGAGCAAGGTATATGCCATGCAGCCTAAGGCACCAACTTCTACTTTCGTAAAGCAGAACTAGTTTTTTTGTCAGAGCTTTTCAGAAGTTTAGCTCCATTCCTACTTGTTAAATGTTTTTAGATCCTTTGGCTGGAAAGCAGCATAAACATTTAGAGCTGTGTGTGTATGTGTAAGAAAAGAATAAATAACTTAAGTCACCTTTTGTTCTAAATGAAGACGTTATTACAGTTGATAATTTCCCCCATATACATAATAGTTATCCTTATTGCATTCAGCTTCTCCTATTTATACAGGTTTTCCAAGAAGTAATGGGGTAAGGGCTAGAGGGAGGCAGAGAAGAGATTCAAGTAAAAAGAAATCTAATACCACGAAATTTAACAGGGCATTAAATGACTCAACTTTTTTTTTTTTTTTTTTTTAAACTTGACTTGGTTTAAACAGACCTATTTGGTAAAGATCAATAGTCCCATGGTAAGTCTGCATTAGGAAAAGGCAACATCAGTGCAAGATAGTCCCAAGGATACCAAACTTGCACTCAACTGAGCTGAACGATGGGCCCTGTCCAACCAAACTGGTCCAACGTTCAGAATCAAACCATTCTCCGAGAGCATTTCAGAGCATTACAGCAAAATATTCCTTGAGCACCGCCAAGACTACTGCCCGAAATGCACATCTCATGTTTTAAGCTCCTTTCTCCAAAGGAGGAGCACCTTGTCACCTATTCTCTTTTCCTCAATGACTATACATAGAGTGGCCCAGCCAGAAATATCACAGTCTTAGAGCTACAGTAACTCCCTCCCCATTACCTGAAAAACATAACTGGATACGCAGCAGAAGTACTCAACTTAATCCCTCTCTCTGAATAATAGGTATTCCATCAAATGCGTATACACCCAAAACGCTGGCCAGCTCACACATGCCAATCCCCTATGCAAGCATGCACTAATATGGCAACTCTGAAACGAACATCTGATGACACATCAGGCAAGTGAAACTAAAATGTTGTCTGTCTATTACTGAGAGTAATTATACACATCAAGACACTTGCCATCTTTTAGATAACAGCACCAAATTTAGTTGAAATACAACAACGGCTCAAAACTAAGGGGACAGATAGGGCCTTTGATTGCAAAAGCCTTAGGAACCTATGGGTAAAGGAGCACATAAGTTAATTAATTGAAGAAAAAAGGTTGCATACAGACTCCACAAGAAGTGGTAGTCCTCCTTCCTCCTTCCCCCAAAAAGCACTATTTTAATCTCAGAAGTCTGGGAAATCCACTCTGACTCAAATAAGAAATGTGTAGGTAATCAAGCCTATCCTCATTCTGATCTACCTGCAAAGCCAGATCTCTTCAGCATTCAGTCCTCCCAATTACAAATTTTGGCCAATAAAGAACTACTTTGCGCAAGACAGACAACCTGAATCCCAAAGCAAAGAAAACAAAAGTCATTTCAGGCCAGCCTAACCCTGCCTGAACACTGTATGATAAACAGATGTAGTACTAATCGAGTGTTTCATTGAAAAGCAGAAAAGGAGACAAAGGAATCCAGGGAAAGACAATCTATCATGCCTCCAAAGGCGGGAGAAGATGCTTAAGATGAATTATACCACATTTTTTATTTAATGCACTTGAACTTTTGAGCTGCATAAAAAAATCCTAACACTACTAACAAATATTTTAATGAAGCATTTACGTGAAAACCTTTATCCCATAGCGTTTCTTATTAGGCACCCAGAACTCCAGGCTTATGCTCCTGCAGCAAAAGGAACTGTTTATGAAGAAAATAAAGTTAGTTCACTTGTACTGTTTTGGTTGGTTCAGAGCTATTTATTATCTGTTCAAGGATGAAGTGCAAATGTTCTATTTTACAGGTTTACAAAGTTGTGTAAAACCTTTCTACTTATACTTAGACCATTGACATTAATTATTTAGAAAGAGAACTCTAAAGTTTTTGTATATAAAATGGCACTGAAATCATCAGGAATTTTTTCTGTGCTTTGATGTTAACGGTGAGCATAGAAGTCCCTCTGAGTGAGGGCCAACATGCCACCGCTTCCTAGTCCGAAGCCGTAACTGCACTAACAGTTGTAGGCACAGCACTTCAGTACAAACAGTCAGGACTCGCAAGGAGCTGGCTAGCTCCAAAGAATCCCCACCACACTGATGCTGATGTCCACGGGAAGAGACGCCCGAACTCAGGCCCGATACGGCAGGAGCACAGCACTCGCTCCCCTTGGGCTCCGTCCCCACCGCGTCCACAGGCACACTGCTGCGGAGCACGGCTGCGGAGCACGCTGGGAGCGGCTCCCGGAAGCGCTGGAGCCCCTTGGCCGCCCGCCAGCTTCCTGCGTTTCTTTCTTCTCCAAAGCGGGGAGGGAGGGACATGGTGGGGAAGCGGGGCAGGCAGCAGGTCACTCTCACAGCGAAGCTTCTCGGGCACACACAGCACGTTCATTAGAGGCGGTGAGGCCAAGGGAGCTCCAGGCCCTCTCCTGCACTAGCTCTACTTCAGAGGTATTCTGTAAAACCAACGGAGTAGGAATGGGGTGGGCTTTGTTCAGCTAGGCTGGAGGTGAACCTCCCCAGCCCCTCCAGAAAAACTCCCCTCCCAGACCTGAAATTGCTCCAGGCCACTGAGTTATGAAATCACAGAAATTAGAGATGGAACAGTCGGCTGAGCTAAGACTACAACTGTGATTTAACGTCCTTGCTAGGCCAGACTGTGGGGAGCACTCAGTATAGAAGTTCCTCCTCTTTTCCCAGTTTCCTAGCTAGGAAGTACCTAGCATTTCTTGATTTGCTGAAGACGTTCCTCAGTTCCCAAACACTATGTCACTTGTACACTACAGCAGAAAGCAGAGTGTAAGTGGATAAATGAAGTATAATCAAAGAACACAAAAGAGCTCCCATGAGTTTATCCAACAACTATTTGTATTTCAGTGCAACTTATCTTCACTTTGAAATAGCATTAAGTTTGAAAGTAGTACTGAAACTCCCCTCATTGTCTTATAGCATCCAGCACTATATGTAACATATAAAATGTATTTCATCTACTATTGTAAACACCATGCAAGCTGAAGGCACAGCAGGGTGCGGTTAACAGCTGGAGACTTAATTCCAAATCTAGCTGGCAAGTTTAGGCTACACGATAAAGCCCTGTAGACATTTTGTCTGATAACTGATGAACATCAGCACATTTTCAAACAAGTTGTTCCACTCTCCCAAATACCTGGAACAATTAAAAGCCAAGTCACATTCTGTTTTTAAAACACTGGGTCAAATAATTTAAGTAATTTAAATGCATCAAATTACTAAAAGTATGTCTTGTTAGTCATACTGCATTAGGAAAATCTATTTACTGTAAAGCCAAGTGAGAAAAATACACCTAGAGCTAGTTAACACTATGGATTAAAAATTATACTTCTCCACGTTAGCTCACACATGCACGCCCACTCAGTCCTGGACCAGTGCCTAACAACTACCTTGAAGCCAAGACAGAAAAGGATAGTTTTAAGACCTAATGTGTCAAAACATTAGCGAGGAAGGATTCCCAGCTTCCAACAGTACAAAGCATTCCATTCTAGCCCAGGAGGTTGAAAATATAGCTGACCATAAATAGCACAGCATTCAGATAACCATGTTGGGGTTTTTTTCCTCCCATACTAAAATATTACCAGAATTAAAGTATTTGCTATCTCAAAAACTGATCAAAGACAAAAATATTTAGATTCAGACAAGGGCCCCAACCTTGGAAATATTTATTCATGTGCCTAACTTTAGTTCCATCTACTTCAGCGGGACTACTCACATGCCTGAAATTAAGCTTGTGTGTGTTTGCACGATGCAAGTATAAATTACTACAAGTTGTGCTGAGATGAGTAAGAAATATTGTGAAACCCATACAAAAGAGAACAGCTAAAAACTGCTTGCTTGACAAAACTAATCTTTAATTATGAGATGAGCAGTTGCAATAGAAGCTTCTTCATTGCTTTATTAGTTTCATTTAAATAAGACGTTGCTTGTTACAGACAAACCCTCTTACAGAATTCTAAATTTGAAACAAAAGCAGCAAAAACACCCGACCACCCCAAATTCAAGAGAGATGAGAAATATTACAGGTACACTCATTCGTCTTTTTCACACATATAAAAAGAGAAGAGGAAAACCAAAGGCTAACTCAAAATCTGATCTGCCCCCCAATAAAAACCCCACACCATGGCTATTTAAAATGGCATCATCATACTTCAGGAGGTTTTCACCAAATAATTAGTCAATGAGAAGCCTTTTGCCAGCACCACCTCCATGGATTTTGGTAACAAAACAAGTTGTGTAACTGGCAGCTACACTTCTAGAAGGCTGAGCTGGATTGTACTCTCCTTTTGCTCATACATACCCAAACAAATCCTGTAACTGGAAGAACTGAAGTCTATTCTTGGGTGACAGTTAAAAATCACTGAACAATTTCATTACTATTTTGAGTGCATCTAGTGCATACGACTCCTTCAGTACCTATTAAGCTTCATTTTCAACACTCTGATTGGACCTGCACTGACAGTAGTCAGAAAAAGGCTACACCTTCTGTCTAAATCTAGTGGTTTAAGCAAGTGCCTTGAAAGTACAGTAAGCATGGATGTTTGCCATTCTGCAGATATTTCCCAGAATTTCATCTTGAAAGAGACAGGAAGAAACAGGAAAAAAAAGAAAGTCTGTTTGTTTTCCCAGTTTGCAGATATAGATATCCACGAGGGCAGTTTTTTGCTGGGCTTAAAAGCCCTAAGAAAGGTATTATGGGAGAGTGCTGACATGACCTGAACAAAAGCAGTACCAATGTGACCTTAATATAGAGCTAAAGGCAGTCTTCTGTCACAACAAAAAGGGGTAGACATGTTCTGTATAGGACAGTGGGTGAGTAAAAGGAACTGATGAGATAGCAAATGACAAGCAGATAGAGAGAAACACAGATGCAGCAAGTGGGCAACTATTAGCAACCAAGAAAAAACACAGACAGAAGTCTGCCATTTCACTGTACTGCCCGCAAACTACAGCTGTAACCACATCAGCTATTCTGTGGACTACACTGATTCAACACATCAAGTCTATTTACCTTAGCATTAACCCACTTAAAGAGCAGTTTTATGCAGTGTCATCTTTTCCCCATATCAAAGCACATAAGCTCAGAAAACCACAGAGTTTTCTTCCTCAAAAAAACCCCACTGCATACTGATGACAACAGATTGTAACGCAAGGTACAGAGAAACAGCCAGGCTGAGGAAGGGACCCAAACGGCGTGGATTCCTAGGAGTTGTCAGAGCCTATGGACAGACCTTACGAACTTGTAGCAAGTGCACAAGGAGGCAAAACGGAGCTAGGCAATAAAAGTTTCCATGTTATTTTTGTAGAGTCCAAGACAGCAACCACAGCTGACGCAATGACTCATGGAAGAATCGTTTGTGGCATTATTAGCTTTAGATTACTGGCAGCTTTGTGAGCAGGCCTTCTGAGAAGGAACATAGGAAGTTTAGTGAAGTGACTGGAGAGCCCATATAGCTAATACCTTCTTGTGTCGACTCCACACACTTCTCTATCTTCTAAACATTCCCAGCAACTTCAGTGTTGCATTTGCCCTAATAAAGCATCAGTGAATACCTCCAACACAGTCTATGTTATATTGTTTTTCTGGCCCACCAGTGTTTCTATACGTAATTAGAATATGCCATTTTCCTTTTAGGTTAGAAAATGCAGAGTAGCTAATATAGCCCATCAACATACTTCTTGATGGATCAGTATAAGGATCAATGCAAGGGACCAGCGCTATGGCAACCTAAAGTGCTAGTTAAGCACTTAACGCAAACTAGGTTAAGATACATTTGATAAAAATCAAGGAAAAAAATTATGCCTTTTCACAAGTCTGGAAAGCTAGCAGGTTTCTGATGGCCTTTAAGAAGAGAAGGTCAGGACTCCAAGAGGAAGGTATTTCTACAAGAAAATAGCATTCCACTGGTGCTAGTGAGAGCACCTTTCCATCACAGAGCTTCCTCTTCGAGCTTTTAAAAAAACAACTATATATATATATATATACAGCTATATCTATATCTATATCTATCTATCTATCATTCTTGCAGTTAACTGGAGATTTATTCTGGGTGAGGGTTTCGTCAAGAAGGGTGAAGAGAAGACGGCAACATGAGAAGGGAGCAAGAAAAGAGAAAAAAAAAAAAAAAAAGATGAAAGAAAAACAGAATGCAAAGATAAGTCTTCATAAAACGGATTACAAGAACACGGAGATTTTGCCTCCAGACAGGGAGGTACATGGAATTTGCAGACGATACAGGCAGTATGGCCATCCAAATGAACATTGCTTCCTCTGGGAAGTTAGATGTGACCAGCTCTAAAAGGAGCTTGCAACCGTGTCTGTTAAACAGACAAAAAAAAAAACCAAACCCCCCCCAAAAAAAAAACGACAAGGAGGGTACTTTGAATATACTATAGCTAACTCTAGTTTTTTCCTTAGCACCCTTTCACTGTAAAACTTTCAGATGGAAAGGGTTTATATTTCTCTATGAACAGTAACATTTGGAAAGGGTAGAAGAAAAGCATCTCTAGAGAAGTTTCATCCACAGTTCAGTCATTCAGTCCCAGCCCAAGCAAGTGCTTCAGCTATTTTCCATGACACAAGCACTTGGATTTTTCCAAGAGCTGATGTCAGGGCTTTTCATGGAGAAAGAACTGCATTTACAGGGCAGGCAAGGAAGGAGGGCTTCCCCAGCAGCTATTCTCAATGTGGCCTTTGTGCTGCCCTGCTGCTGAAGCCAGGACCCTGCAAGAACTCTTAGTCCCCACAGAAACTCTACAAAGGGGAGGGGACAGAGACATTTTCAGCAGCTAGTACTGTTCTTCCACTCCTGACTGACTTCCAAGGCTCAGAAGCATCAACCTTCCATCTACAGGGCCTGAAGTTACAGCCTTTTAAGACAAGGACACCTATTGTTTAATATCTCTACCATGGGGTAGAAGCAGACAAACAAACTAAAACTGGGGAGGGGGGCAATGGAAGAGAACATAAATAAACTAGGTTGCTCATGTTTCCATAACGCTGCTTTTAGATTTAGCCTAAAAGCAAGATTCGAGCAACAGGGATGTAGTTTGCCCATAGAATGTAGTTCAGAGCAGGAATAAGCTGTTCAGAAACTGATGAAGGACAGAGGTTGCCAAATCACAAGTGATTTCCTACTAGTTTCCCAACCTGACTGGTTACAAGTTACTAAATCCATCAGTTTCCACCTCTGGGAAAGAAAAATTAACATATTTGAAATGGAAAAAATTAAATTAATTAAACACCAGAAATACTGAAAAAGGCCAAGAATTTTTCTAAAAAGACTCTCAGA